TCTATATGCATGCATTATAACATTAGAATATTAACCCTGCATATAGACTAGAATCATATTGGGTTAATATTCTAATGTTATAATGCATGCATATAGACTAGAATCATATTTGTATTATAACATTAGAATATTAACCCAATATGATTCTAGTCTATAATGCATGCATTATAACATTAGATTATTAACTGAATATGATTCTAGTCTATATGCATGCATTATAACATTAGATTATTAACTCAATATGATTCTAGTCTATATGCATGCATTATAACATTAGATTAGTAACTCAATATGATTCTAGCCTATATGCATGCATTTTAACATTAGATTATTAACTCAATATGATTCTCGTCTATATGCATGCATTATAACATTAGATTATTAACTCAATATGATTCTAGCCTATATGCATGCATTATAACATTAGATTAGTAACTCAATATGATTCTCGTCTATATGCATGCATTATAACATTAGATTATTAACTCAATATGATATGTTTTGATAGCTATAACTAGGAAGACATAAAACGACGAGTATAAATTCTCAACAGCTTCTTAATTCTCCAGTAATTCCTGTCTCCTCCTCGTGAATAAATTGAGTTAATTTTGCTTGTGAAATCAAGTATAGTGACATGTCCAATGACGCGAATAAGGGGATGGGGCGAGAATCAAGCCGTCTCCTATATCTCCCAAGCAATGTTTTCTTATAATTCCAGGTGAATCATTATAACTATGGTGGTTGAGTAACACTCGCTGGAGACCTATTTTTATTTCAACTAAATCTACTTAGCACGCAAATTTGTTCACGTTACTATGGTTTTAAAAACAAATTCATATGACAATATAACAATTGTGGTATAGTTTAGTTCGTACACTGTTGTGAATTTTTACGAATACTAAACATACCAGATATGTTGCTCCCAGTAGAATTAAATGAATATATGTCTTACTCTTTCAGCAACAAAGATAATACATAAGATGTGTTTTACTATTTCCATTTATTTTTGTACGAGCAGTATCGAATAATATTGTAACGCTACTGCGAATTTGTTTAAGTTTGATGGATAAATGGTCGCGTGAAGCCCCAGTCACGATTTTGTTTGTTTGTTTGTAATTAAGCACAACGATACAGAATAGGCTATCTGTGCTCTGCCCACCACCGGTATCGAAACCCGGTTTCTAGCGTTGTAAGTCCACAGACATACCGCTGTGCCACTGGGGGGGGGCACTTTCGCTTAAATTCGCGAAGTTAAGCGTTTGATCATCAGACTGTATTTCTAGCATAAAGCTAGTAAAATCCTCACTGGAACATAAAATATATTTTTATATTCACCTAAAACATCTTTGAAATATTTTGAGTACAAAACAAATCAGTTTACTCAGTGTAATAACAATATATGAAAAATTTGGATTTTTTTTTAAGAAATACTTATCACATCGCAACAGATTTGAATCTTAGGATCTTGTGTAGTGCAATGTTAGATGATGCTAGAGTTGCACTAATATATCCTATCCAATGTATTAAATGATATACATATCTTAAAAAGTTTAAACACCGAAAGCTGGCGAAATATTAGAAAAACCAATAAGCTTAAAATCTGGTATATAAAAAAAAACAAGTAAATTTGCAATTGTTTTTTCATATTCCTTTTACTTAATTCGTCCATTACGAAAACACGCCTTTGTTTTGGAGCTGCAATGGATAAGTTATGAGAAATGTGGGTGAAAAATATATATTCAGTTAACTAGTATTTATAACAATTTTGACGCATTTATATGTGTATATACGTTATCTGTATTTTTCCTGCGTTGCTTAGATACGCGGAATGTTACCACTACAAGTTGTATGAGCATTATTTGCCAGGATATGTCTATTTAATTTAAAATGTAAATGTGAAGTTTATACGTAACTTACAAGTGCATTATTTTATAAATGGTTATAAAAATACCAAAATGCTACAAGACTATATATACATATAAAGTTCGAGATTTAGACAAGTTATCATTGTTCGTACCTCGACAAGTGACTAAAGGTGTAAAGTCATATTATGATATATTAATTTATTCGGTATACACATATTTGAGTTAATACTTTGAAATTTTGTGCTTAGGTTTCGTTATTTTAACCACTGAAAATCTGAAGAAGGCTAATTATATAATTATATCTTAAATGCTGTTAAAAAAACAGTCCTTCTAATTTTGCTTTTTTTTGTTTCAGCAGAGTAATCCACGAAGTTAGCTGTTGCCTATACTAATTATTTCCTGTGATCTAAGCCGTTAACTTGACGAGACTGGAAGCTTTTGTTCTATGTAGAGGCAGAGAGAAAGAGCTATAAAAGAGTGGCGTAGTTGCGGGTAAAGACAGCAGTTAGCGAAGGCAGCATCTAACACTAAACATGAAAATTGCGTCCACTCTTTTTTACCTTCTTCTCATTGTACCAGACTCATTTCGCACAACGCCTGTAATAACAGAGTAAACTTTTTTTTTTCTTCAATAGAAGTGCAACAATCTTGTAAGCACTGTGAAAATTTAAAATAATATAATCTATAATGCATGTCTGTATATAACAATCTGAAATATGTAAGCAAGGTATGTTTTCGTAACAAAGTCAGAATTTGGATGCTTTCGATATGGTAACTGTACGTTTGATATATCTGAATTTTAAAAGCATTCCTTATTGTTGGTGCCTGATTTTTCCTGACTTTTTTAAGTTATGAAAAACAACACTTTAACAAATATCTTTTTGTACAAAAACTACACGCTAGTTTTCCTTTCCTTTTAAAAATGAAATCTTAGATTGTGTTCATTTCGTGTGTCAAGTAATAACTATGTGCATTTGAGGATTAACTGAAAATTGAGGATTAATTGAAAACTTATGCTGCATTTTCAATTTAAAATTGTCATCAGTGTATCGTATCGATTACTTATCCTTCTAAACTATTGACGATCAGTAATATCACATGACTTTTAGGTAATTAATTAATCCAAGAAAACGGACAATGTGTGATACGGAAAATTCGGGATTCACAAATTACTGAATTAAAAACAACCATATTTGATAAAATCCATCGTGTCAGGTCTAAAGAAACAACTTATAGTATGCCCTTAGAAACAAATGGTCAAGCTGAAGATAATTTGAATAAAGAATCAGATTAAAAAAAATAGTGATCTGGTCAGAATCTTACCAGCCTGATCATTCATTGAAGTCATAGAGACTAGTTGTGTCCTGAGAGTCTTAACTTTATGTGAAAATATTTCCTTCAATAATTGCTTGTAGGATAGATATTTTGTGTTCAAGAGTCACTGCTTTAATAAAGTGTTTTATTCTTTTCTTTTGTTGCATGTTGATCATGAGCTATTTTTTCTCTAGTGATATTTATCATGTTAAATGTTGAAAGAACGTAAACATGTTTACACGTCAGGTTTCTTAGAATTCTTCACAACTAATTTTTTGAAGCACGCATATTTTTACATAATCTACCTCTAAATACGTTTTTTTTAAATACTGATTTTAAAGCGCCTTTGTCATTTTAACAAGATTTACTACTAATAAATGAATAAGCCTGAAGCTACTTAGAAGTATAAGTTCAGTTTCATTTTTATGAAACAAAATTACATATATTTATCTAAAAAATATTTTTAACATACTCTCCTTATAAGTTTTTGCAGTGTCGCTTAAGTTTGACAGAAATCAGGGTTAATTATGAATAAGTTACTCTTCACAAGAATGACATTTTGAATATACAATGAACAGAAATATTGAAGAAAGCGAGGAGTTTCTTAATCATTGGGCTTCATTAGAATAATTGATATTAAACAATTCGCCTTTTAATTTGCATTTAGACAAGAATATACAGTTATGCTCTTGGTAATCACAATGCGCTTTTTTCTTTTTTTACGCATTTTATTGAACTTGGCTTGGGTGTTTATTGTTGTTTATTTTCAAGACGCCTATTTTATGTAATTTTTACTTTTCACGAGTGTAAACTTTATCGTTTAAATGAATAACTGTAAAAGTCTTTTTCATGTTTACTCTAATGATTTTGATATTTGGATGTGATTGTTTATTGTACACCATGTTTCTGAATGAATAAAATTTGAAGTTGAGCCTATTTTCCCGAGTTCTCTTTGGAATTCTCCTTAAACGTTAGAATCTAATGGTAACTTCAACATGTTTATTATAACGTTGTCTTTCCTGCTCGTTGCTGCTTCTGAAATGGTTGGACTTTAGAAATAATAAGACATGGACACATTAATTCTTTAATAAAAGAACAGCGCTGTAATAGTGCAACGTAAAATAAGAAATCCATACATTGTTGATAATCTATGTCTTTTATACTTTCTTATCTGTTTAAAGTACGTAAAGAGCTCAAGGTAGTTAAAAAAGTGACAATTAAACAGCGATAACTCAAAAGAGGTTAAACAGCGAACTTAAGGAAAACATCACTAGTGGAAATCATGGTCCTTTTGGTGCTCAGTATCGGAAAAGTAAAAGCAAAAGAGAAAAAACGTACAAAAAAGCCAGATTTTTAAAACTAAAATGGATCGTTTCCCAAGTTAAGATGCTATCATTAGAAGAAGTAAAAAATCTACTGGTGCTAAAACTAGTGAAAATGTCAGTGGTAAAAACTTCTATTATGCTGCCTCAGAAGTAGAATAAATTATATTTTCTCATAAATGTTTGTTTGTTTGAAATTAAGCACAAAGCTACACAATGTCCACCACGGGTATCGAAACCCGGATTCTAGTGTTGTAAGTCCGCAGACCTACCACTGTGCCACTGGGGGGCTCATAAATGTAAAGAAAGGCAGCAAGAAAGTAATTGATTTAATGTCCACAAAACAGCTCAAAGGTGCAACATTTGTTGGTCGAAATGAATTCGTTGCAGCTTCAGATATTTCACTTTCCAGAGATCACAAGAGAAGGAAATACATAACAATTTATCAAATACGATGTCTTTTCAGGAAAAAGTATCAACATAATGGTTTCAATATTTATCTTTTCGAGATTCATTGTTTATATATTGTTACAAAAATTACTTCAGAACTAGCTTACTAGATCAAGATATGACAATGTAACCAACATGGAAGACAAGAACAATAGCATAAGCGGGGAAACTGAAGGGGATGGGGATGTACTGGAGACATATGCCCACCAAGATTACGACACGTATGATATAGAACATCGTTTATTAACAAAAAAGGGGACATAGATATATATTTTTTAATATGTTTGTATTACTTATTTTACTTTTTTTTGGTTGTGTTTTCTTGCTGTAGTTTCTCCTCATGATTACTGTTTTGTGTTTTAGTTGTTTAATTATCGTTAAATTTAACATTTGTACTTTACCAATGTCCCAAGACTTATGTAAAGACTGAAGATGGAATCTGATAGAATTCCGAAACGTTTATCTGTGTCCCCCTTTTTGTTAATAAACAATGTTGTATAGCATTAGCGTCGTAATCTTGTTTAATATCAAACTTCGTTTTCCTTCGAACACATCGATTGCTTATGCCCACCAATTTTTGACCTGATAATGAAGTACCCTTTGAATGCGGAATAGCAACATGTGTATAATTATTGGGGAGCTCACTATTTCTATATGGCAGATAAAGTGTACCCAGTCGTCGGTGCCTCCCAAATTCAAATTTGGTACCTTGTTACCCTACAATGAATAATGGTCGTTAATAAAAAAATTAGAGCTTTTTTGTGGTCTCATGCTGAACGATGTAACAGTTGGTCCAATCGAGGCAGTGACTTTTATCAACTTGATTACAACCAAATACCTCTGCTGTTATTCTTCAACTTATCATTGGGATTTTTAAGCGATTAATGGTAAAAGGACACAATACTGAGGATAACACACGACACTTAATCTAAACGAAAATACTCTTAGATCAGAGCAATAGAATCCAAAGCCAATCAAGAACAACAACCTCCTCCTCTAAGTGGCTATGGTGATGAAAACGGAATGACAGAAACATTATTTGAATACTTATCTGTTAAGTCTACCTATGCAACTCCATTAGGTTTTGTGTCTTGTGGTTGTTTTATCTTGTAGGCAGATATGTATGTGTACAGTTGGGGGTTTGTACAAAGTTTGTTAAAATGTGTAACATATTATTCGCTTCGTCATTCTCCCTATAATGTTGTTACAATGGAATTTAATGCATCGGGCAACATTGTCTACTAATAGCCATCAGGATGACCACGATCGACAATAGTGGAAACAATTTTGAAATAACGGTTTCGATAAAGTGCGATTAAACCACAGTGGGCACATATATATCTTAGAATGGGGGAATGTATTTGGTATTAAGTACAACCTCCGTTTATTTTAAACATGTAAATATAAATGTAGATTAATTAATTTTAACCCAACCTAAAAAAAATGATGATGATGTATCTCCAAAAAAAAATTATAAATAAAAAACATTTGAAAATAATTTTTTGCCGTTAGTAATTAAAAGTTTTTCACGATATTCTATATTAAAGTTTTATATCGCACATTTTTAAAATGAACAAGAACAAAACAGCTCACACTTTAAATGTTATTATAAATAGATCATTCGATTAGATCTTAATATCAAAGGGGCCATATCCGTGGTATGTGTTTTATTTTGAAGATATGTTCATATTTGATTTAAGATTTGAGTTTAAATGCCTATTCTGTAATAGGCTCATTATTCAAATTTTCATCGACTTTAGAGAAAACGTTGCTTTTTATTGATAATATGTTCTTCTCTTTACAACGGCCTATTTTGACTATTTATGTTGACTTTTATTTACACACTAGGATGCAACAAAATATTTCAAGTTCATTATACTGCACAACATCTTGAAACATAGCTGTTTACTGTGTGTTGATCTTTGATCTTAATGTCATTTAAATATTCACATAATCTTATATTCAAGGGCTATCCTGTTTATCAGTAGGACTTTGGGTGCAGTGTATTTTAATTAACGATATTTTTAGGTGAAACGTAATGTATTCTTGCGTTTTATTTACCGCACTAAATTTTCAATTATAAGCATTTCATTTTGATTCCTAAAATTAGAACATTCTAGACATTTTTATAATTTCATCTGGCCTTTGAATGTTTCAAAAACTAGCATTTTTTAAGGGTAGTTCGGTGTTACCTGTTAGAAATTCCTAGATTGGTTTCTAGATTAATGTCTAAGTACAAACAAGTTAAAATTTGTTCCCCATGTTGGTGTGATCTGAATTTAGTAGAGGAGTGCATTCTTTCAGGAAATTATCGAGTAATGTAAGGCTATAGCTCTACACACCAAAATGTCATCAATGGGGGACTAAAATGTAATATATTATAAAACTAACATACACGTACATCCAATACGACAAAAAACTATACTTCAACGTTAAAATAAAACTACAATTATTGTGAATTAGCGTATATAACGTAATATATTTTCAAATAAGTAGAAGGAGGTATCTATTAGCGCAATATACCTTCCCTTCGTTTGGTTAATTATGGCTTATACATTTTAAAAGAAGAAAAAAATAAAATCTTACATCCACAGTGAAGAGAAGTAACTATAGGGACATTTGGTTCAACATTTAAATAAAATCATCAGTGATATTAATTGACACTGGAACTCAGAAGGTATAATATTTTTTTTTTGTAACCAAGCAAACCAGAAGGTGAAAAGGTACAAAATGAAACCTTTAGATTCTCACGTTCTTTAGGTAGCACTGTAATTCAGAGTGTTACCTGTCTGAGAACCTTTAGAATGTCAAGAACAATAAGTGAGTTACAGATTAGTTAAGATGGTATACGAATTTATTTGTTTTCTTAATTTTTAGTAGTATTTAATTCGCATTTTTCTATGATATTACTTTAATTTAATCAGCTTACTGAGACAATAAAGTACTTTTTACCATAAGTCCCTGAGTTTTATCACTCACTTTTACTGCAATGGGTTTTTTTCTAGTCCTGTTAAAGTAATTCATTAGTAGGTTATTTAATATTTTTCTGAAAGATTATAGTAATAATGAATATAGCTAGAGGAATAATTTCGAATTATTAAAATTAATTAAAAATTCAGTGTTTGATAGTAAAGCTTTCTATGTTGAGACTTTGTATATTAACATCTTTTTGGAAGAAATAATAGATTTACGTGCTGAACAAATTCTTAATGATAATGTAAATGGATTATATATTTTAAGACCCTTATTTCTGAAGTTAATTAATTTTTCTACTAAAAACATTTAAATGTTTTTGTTTCATGATAATCATTGATACCAAATGGATGGTATGGCTATAGGCTCTAGGTTGGCTCCTTTTTGGGCCTATTTTTCTTTGTGTTCATGAAGAGCACTAGTTAGACGAATGTAGATGACACTTTTGCCATCTTTAAGGATCCTGATCATATTCATCAATAGTGTAAAACGAGTAAGCGTAACAGTGTTCGATTCACAGTTGAAAGTCAGCAAGACCACATACTTGCTTCTTGGACAAATTAGTTCACAGATATGATATTAACGTTGAGTGGAAGTTTACCACGAACAAATATTTTCTTGCTTGTATTTCAACCGTAACTTTGCGTATAAACTCTCAAGTACATATGAAATTTTGCCTACAATTTGAACAAACGAAACTACATCAATGAATTAAGTTCCTGAGCGTTAAGTATTTTTAACTTTATCTTATATCAGTAAACATGCTTTGTTCGTTAAAAAACAGTTGATGCTGTGTACCCTTCTTCAAAAAATGCATCCACACATACAATTAAGCCGCCTTTAAAAAAAAATCAGGATGTCATATTCAGTATTTGTTTTAAATATAAAGACCGAATTTCTCCCATGAAAACATCAATTTTGACTTACCAATTTACTTGTCCTTGTTGTAAATAGGGTCATTTTGAATCTACGACGTGACTGCAGACATGAATGAAAGAGAAGGCAAATTTAAGGACAGCGAATAAATAGATCAAACATGCCGAAGCACGCCCTTTCGTGAGTGTGACGTGATCGTTTCTTGAAATTAGCTAAAAAATCGTACCTAATGACAAATACAAACAACGTATTTGTATAAAAGAAAATTTACTCATTTGTAATCACAACAACTTAACCGAGAAAATTCATCATATGAATTACTGCTTATTCAATGTACTTGGAAATATTGTTTGTTTGTTTGTAATTAAGCACAAAGCTACACAATGGGCTATCTGTGCTATGTCAATCACGGGTATCGAAACCCGGATTCTAGCGTTATAAGTCCACAGACATACCGTTGTGCTACTAGGGGGGCTGCAATTGGAAAGAACATATATATGTATATAAATCAGCATTAATGGTTAACCAGCTAAAATAAGATGATTTCTAAATATTATTCAATGTTAAAACTTCTTTGAAAAAAAATAGAAAGGAGCTTTTCTAATTCAAGACTAAAAACGCCATGTTCGTAACTAAAAAATAGAAATTTTAATCAGCATGTTTTTAAATATCTTTTCAGATGTTTATAAAAATATTTTTTAGTGTCTTTGGATTATATTCAATTACGTACTTTTTTAAACGCGTAATTGTGGTTATTAAAGCGCTTATTCCTCATTGTATTTATTTGTTTCCTTATAAATATACATGAAAACATTTTAAAGGATTAAGAGTATGTTAGTTATGGATGCTGTTTTTGTCCCCCTTTTTTCCTTTAAGCATTTTAATTCAAATATTATCAAACTGTTTTACTTTTAATATAATTCATTTAGATATCATATTTTTTAGCCTCCAATCTACATTTCCTCTTCTTATTTGAAAACAAACAAGTCTTAGAAATATTTAACTGAAATAAGTGAAAACAAAATAAACGGTATTTGAAAGGTGATGTTTTAATAGAAATGCAGTCAACGTATCGCTATTAATACACTAGAATTTCTCACAAACTATTCTTGTCTTTATGAACTTCATGCTGAACTATCTTTCGAATGTTGTTCAGTTCAAATTAAGGCAGAAGCATCTTCTTAAATGTGTTATTTTCAACTAAAAAAAAAAAAGGTGGTGAAATTTTGATAATACAGTTTTTGCAAGTAATGTTTTTTTATAATCCCCGTTCACATATTTAAATATATATATATTGATATGGTCAGAAAAAGCCATTCCTTAGGATTTAAGACCAACTGTTTTAGTTTTCCTATGGTTAGCGGAAAGTCTGGGGGCTTATAACGCTAAAAATCGGGTTTCGATACTTGCGGTGGGCACAACACAGATAATCCAACAAAAAAATTAAATATTTTATTTTGTGATGTTGACTGTTGGTAATCATAATGAGCTAAACTGGCTAGCTGACGATTCTGGCTGAGTCCATTTCTTTTAGAGTTTTGGTGTTTTTTAGCACAAAGCTACACAGTGGGCTATTTGGGCTCTGCCCACCACGGAAAGTCCAATTTTAGCGTTGTAATTCTTGTTTTCGTGTATTACTGAGAGCCAGTGCTAAGTATGTAGCTACGAAATAAATCAATTTTAATAAAAGTAGCGACAATATAATATAAGG